TTATAGAAGGCCAGTTCCTCCAAAGTCCCATTATTTCTGACAACTCTGTGTAACCAGAAGTTCGCGTAGCGGCTGGCAAGCCTTCCCTGAACTCTGCCCCTGCACTGAGAGGCAGCTCCACTGAGAACAGCCGCTGCGGACCCTTTCTCACAAGCCACAAACCACACACCTCATAGATGCTTTTAAATCAGACCGTCAGAGTCTTCACCTACTGCATTTGGGGGGCCACTTAGACCAACAAAACGAAAGGAGCATGAAGAAGAAAATCTAAGTCTTTACTTTTTTCATATGGCCATTCCCGGGGTGCTGAGGTGGGAGGTACAAACCCTCCCTAAATCATTTAGTGCAGTAAAAAAAGTCCTGGAAAAATATTTTGAAAATCTTTTTATTTTAAAAAATCTTAGAAATACTGACAAATATAGAAATAATGACTATATTTAGTGTCCCTTGAATCCATTTGGAATTTGAGTTTTAACGCAGGCTTTGTATTATAAAGTGCTGAAATCAACTCCCTTACCACTGTGCATGCATTTATTTTTCTAATGTTGCTCCTTAGGGTTTTTTGGTCTTGCCCCAGTGACAAGAGACGTGGTGCTACCCTGGGGCCACTACCTTCAGAGAAGAGACCGGATGCTTAATTTCCCCTGCTCAGCACAGTGCAGTGCTAACTTTTGCTCTCTGTGTAATCAAGGTAGCTTTTCCACAGTCAGTCCAAAAAACAGACCTAGAAATTTATTTCTGAGTCCAAAATCCACTGCTAAGATGGGGAATGGTGGTTTTACTTCAATATTATTATAATAATAAGTATAACTGAAATTTATAGAAAGATTATACAAACAGAAAAGTAATGTAAAAAAAGTAAAGTTGAGGGGTAAGGGAATGTTGAAATCTGTAGTTTCTGTGCAATTTTACTGTAAAGCTAAAGCTGCTCTAAAATATAAAGTTTCTTAGTAAAAGAACTGCAAATTTCATAGCCTTGGAAAATAAGTGGATATACTGCGTATAAGACATCTTTAAAAAGGATATATGGGAAGAAAGAGCTACCAGCTTCCTTTCGCTACACCATAATTAACTTGTATGATTGACTTTTAAAAAGTCTGTTCCACGGGTGGAAGATAAGGAGATCTTCAATCTTCTGAAGCAGGAGAGAGGATCCTGGAATGGGAGCATGCTGAAATGAAAAGAACAGCTTACTTAGTGTGAAACCTGGGTTTGAAACCCTTGACTGCCCTCTTTCAAGCTTTGTGACTTTGAGCAAAATACTCAGCTACTTTGAGGTTAAAAGGTATTATAAGGATTAAATAAAACATTGTAAATGAAAACAGTAGCCACAATCTGTACCTAGCAAATGTTAGTTGAAGTTAACTTCTAGTAGCAAAGCCCTGCTTCTGAGATTTAACTCTTATGAGAAGGGAATCGTTTCATTTAGATGGGAGATCAGTTCATGGGGAAGGAAGCCCAAGGAAGGACACAATGTGTAGATGTATGGATAAGTGCCTCTCAATCTATCTAACACAGAGCAGGCCCTTAGTAGACATTGATTGGACACATAAGACTCTATACTGGATGTACCAAAAATTTCATATAGTTGTGTTTTTTTTTAACCCTCAGATCAGCTGTTCTTACTTTTATAGAATGCCACACTTTCCAAAGTGCTTTTATACTGTTTAATAAATTAAACATATCAAAATCTAGGAGGCAGATAAGTCAAGTCTTATTTTGTAGCAATGAAAACTGAGGCATGAAGAGAAGAATACACAAGAACTTCAATGTAAGAGCAAAATAAAACTCATGTCTTCTAACTTATGATCATAATTATGATCAGTTTTTCACTCTGTATAATTTTAAGACTCATTCTAAACACTTGAGAGAGCACCAGTGAAACAACATAAAACTGAGTTTGGGAAATTTACAAAATAAGGGAATACTTTAATATTGCAACTGAATTTGATAGTGGTCTCTTGTGATGTTGTAAGAAGAGAATATGGCAGGACCAGGGATGTAGCTTAATGGCACCATGTCTGCCTGGCAAGTGCAAGGTCCTGAGTTTGATCCCTGGTACTAGAAAAAAAGAGGAAGAAGAAGAAGAAGGAGGAAATATGGCTATGGACATATGGAGAAAATAATTAATTAATGGCTATCCATTCTATAAAAATGTTCCTTCCCAAACAGTTTTATTCTGTTTCTTTCAGTTTAGGATGTGCTGGTCACTACTGTCTATCAGCATGCATTGCCCATTGCTTGAAGCCACTGTGAAGAGATTTTGGTTATAATGACTATTCTTTATGATGTTATCTCTCTCTTGACAATTGATCAAAATATATATTATTTTGCACCTTACATTTACAACACAGTAATGTGTTGTAAACTCTTGATGGGGCTGAGAGGAGCTGTGGCAGAGTGAAGAGAGAAGAAAGTAAAGGAAGATTTTTTTTTTTTAGTAATAGAAATTTTCCTTGGTTATTATGATAACTGCACAAAATTTACTAGTTGATATTTGTGTGGGTTGAACAAAAAAGTAGAAATTTTATGTTGTGGTAAAAGAAGAAATATAGTCTTTATCTAGGTGGTGGCTACCTTTCAATGATCGCCTAATAGAAGGAGTATTACATGAATAAGAGAAGGTGATAGCCCAGCAATTTTTGCCTTATCACTCTGCCCAATACTCGCCCACTACATTTGTAGTTTTTCTGGAAATACATATTTGATCTAAGGAAAAAGTTTAACACAGACAGTCCAAGCACCAGTTGCTATAACTGTGTAGCAAATTACCCCAAACTTGTAGCACAAGGCAATGACAACATTTATTTTGCCATAATTTAAGCAGGTTTCTAGCTGGAGCTGGTTCTGTTTTCCATTGGAGCGGGTTACAGAGAGGGGCTAGAAGACTCACTCAGATGTCTGATCATTGATTCTGGCTGTTGGTTGAGACCTTAGCTGGAGCTGTCTTCTAAAATACCTTCCTGTGGCCTTTCTCTGGGGTATGGGATTCTTCACGCTATGGTGGCTGGATTCCAAGCATGAACATCCCAAAAGAGAGAGCCTGGTGAAAACTGTATCCTCTCTGTCACCTAGCCTTGGAAGTTACATAGATCTCATCCACTCTTGGTTGGAGAAGAGACATGTTTCAGCTCTGACACAAAGGGAGAGGAGACAGACTCCACCACTGAGTGGGGTAGGAGTGTCAAAATCATACTGTCAGGAGAGCATAGGAAATAAAGATATTGCTGCTGTGAACCTTTAGAAAAATACAATATGTCACATACATACACCTGCCTTCTTCCTCCTTTGGTATCATTGCTGCCAACACTAGGGCTTCAACTATAACCAATTTAGGCACTTCTGCCTTTGTCACCCTTCTCTTGTTAAATATCCCAAAGAAAATCCAAAATCATACTCCTCAAAGTCATAGATGCCCAGTTTTAACTGGACCTTCATAATCCCTATTATTTGCTTTTTCTACTTTTGTGTAAAAAATGATGGTCTTGTCTGTATCCTCTAATGCTAGAAAGCAATGCCAGTCTTCCTGGCCATTGCTTAAATCTCTCAGATGGGCACCTAAGCTCAGGTGGCTCTTCTCCAGGAAAACTGGCAGGATGGCAGTGAGAGGAGAATGGTGAGGTGTACTTCAAGAGAAACAAAGATGCTTTGCGAGAGAGCATAAGGCATGGTGGGGGGGGGCACTGTCTCTAATCCTGAAGATCTTCATATCCTTTAGAGGCCCACATATAGTAAAATGGCCATACAGTAGGGATTATGGTTTCTGGCTTTCTGTTTTTAATTTTTATTTTGCATTCAAAAGCAGCTGAAATATTCAACCTTAGGAGACCTGGGGCAGGCGTGTGACTTGTCCTGAGTCACAGTCTAACTAGCAAAGGAACCTGGATCTGAGCACTGCCCTTCTACCCCATTACCCATGTTAGATTCATTCCTGTATGTAGGTTTGGGAGAGAGGAAGCAGAAATCTTGAGGTAATTAAGAGTTTGGGAGGCCAGGTGTAGTGGCACACGCCTGTAATCCCAGCACTTGGAAGCTGAAGCAGGAGGACCCCTGTGAGTTCAAGACCAGCCTGGGCTACATAGTGAGTTCCAGGTCAGTCTCAACTACACAGTAAGACCCTGTCTCAAAAAACAACAACAGCAAAAAACCAAAACAAAACAAAACAAAAAAAAGAGTTTGGGAGGAAAGGGCTTAAAGAATTAAGGAAGGAGACTAGAAGGTAAAGAACAAAAAAGGGACCCTCAAGTCATGTTTTTCCTCTTTGGCACTGTTCCTTGATCCTAGATATTTTCTCCATCCTGTCCTCTGTGGCATCTATTCATACCCTTCCTTTTGAATACCTGAACTATTTCTCTCTCTTTAGATTGAAGGATAACAGTTGGCATACCTGGTTATAATGAGCCCTGTTGAACCAGGCATTTCATATGAAAGGTGTTTGGAAGGTAAGATCATTAAGTCACAACATGCAGCACTATGTTGCTGGGCAGAAATACAGCGTCAGGCAGAATAATAAGAACATGACAGACGCTCACACAGACTTAAGCACTCAGGGACAAAAGCAGATGAACCCTTTCTGAGGATTCTGTCTAATCAAATTCAGGCATGTGTACAGACTGCAACTCTGCCATGATGACCATTTCATTGGGCAACAGTTATTAAAATTGGATTTCTTTTTCAGAAGAGGGTCAGAATTAGAATTTTGCAAAGCATTATCTTCTTCCCCCATAGCCATGTCATTTTGTAAGAGATTGCACTGCCTAGAAATCCTCCTGATCCTTTTGTTCTTCCTCACATCTAATCTGTGTTTGAGTTAACAGCAAAACCGGGTAAGAGACAGATCCAGAGAGGCACAAGTGACAATTAGCACCTACCTCTTGGAACACTGGTGATGATTAATAAGATATTGTGCTGCAGCTGCGTATGTTTTTATGTTTTCCACAATCAAGCTTGATTAAAGCTGGCTTTTGTGACTTTTCTGATTCCTGGTGGTATTGGGACTTTCAGGCGATTGGTTGCCCAGCTCCATTTTTCACCTCACAGGGAATCACTTCTGCAGCCATTTCCTGATGCTCACCAGGGATTAGCTGATGCTTCTGTGTGGCTGGTGGCTCACAGCATAGTAAGGTCATCCGTAAAAGCTGGCTGAGGGAGAATTTAACTGTTCAGATCAAATATATTTGTCCCACTGCTAAGTCTGCTTCCTGATGAAAGTCAGGAGGTGATTTTACAGAGGTGGCCCTTTCCTCAGGCAAATGTTATATTCCCACTCTCTCACCATGGGCATTAAAAACAAGGCACTGAGGAGAAGCCAGGTCCTCCTTGCAGCAGCCAACCCTCGTTTATCACAGAATCAAGGCTCACATCTTTGATCCTCCCCATAAAATTGTCCAAGAGAGTTGCACAAACCCATGAATGTCTTTTGTTATTTTTCTCATCACTTTTAATGTGTTTTCCCATAATTTTTGTTTGTGATGATGTCTGAGCCTGCCTATGTCAACAAAATAAGAGGAAAAAAATTCCATAAAGAATGCTATTAAAGGATGCTATTTCAATAGTTCAATATTTATGCTTTCATTTGGAAAATGCAAAATTGTGGGTCTCATGAGGATTTAAATTGTATCCCAGATGAGGAATCTTATTTAAATATACACCCAGCCCCCAAATCCACCCCCATGCAACCAAGGTGTCAAGATACCTAAGTTTTCTCACGACTCTCAAATATTTCCTCAAAACACCATTGTCCTTATTGCTGTTATATTTCTTTTCTTATATGGTCCTTTCTCTTTCATATCCATCCTATCCTTTATGGATATCCATTGGATGAAATGTGAGCTTGGAATTGCTAATAATGTCAGGATAAATGTTTAGGCCTGGTACGAAGATATTTGAAAGTAACAGAAACAGTCTCAATGTCCTTGCAGCTTCTTTATAAAGAAGAGTGCATTTCTAGGTCTGTTTTATGGCCCAGAAAGATTCAGCTCCAAATAAAAACCCATCCCCCACATTGTCAGAGTTTTTAGTATTAAACATCAACATACTATGTAATTTTGGCAGTGGCTTGTCACTTGGACAGTTTTCTGCTAATGCTGTTCATGCTATTTTGGATAAAAACTGTCTCATTAGTACAAAAATGAACTCACGCATCAACTGCATTCCTGCCCTCTCCCCATATCATCCCTGTCCTCTTGCACTGCAGTTCAGTTCCCAGGGGACTGTAATGCCCCTGAAAACTGACAGTCACATTCTATTATAAAATATTTTTCCCATTTAATAACATAGTCTAGGTAATGATTCATAATCCTCATAGGGCTTCCTGCCAGTGACAACTGAACTTAAGTAATTGAGACCACTACACAATTTGGTAGTGACTGCACTTTTATGGTTTGATCAAGAGTTAAAGCAGGGCCGGGAATTTGGCTGAGTGGTTCCGCTGCCTACCTTGAAAGCACAAGAACCCGAGTTCTATCCCCGGTACCAAAAAAAAAAAAAAAAAAAAGAGTTAAAGCAGCAGTATATCTGGAGAAACTTTCAGTACAATGACATTCTTCTGATACATTTCCATGTCTATTTTACATATGTAACTCTGGCCTCTTTTGGCCACTAGACCCTGAAATATGTCTATAAATGATGTATGTACTACCTGTTAAATGTAAGTGCTATAAAGGCAGGGACATTTTCTCTTTTTCATCTCAGTGTTATTAGTGTCTATGACATTGTGTTCCATCATCATTTTACCTGCCCAGTGCATGCCTATCAGGAAAACAAGTCTTTGACTTTGAGTCCCACTTTGTTGTAAAAGTCACACTTCCTGAAACCCATTTAAATCCAAGAAGGATTAAGGTGACAGACTATTCACCTACCTCCCAAATGCCTGAATAACTTCCTTCTCCCTACCTGGTGGCCTTAACTAGGAGCCCTGCATGCCATTTTCATACTTGCAGACATCCTCTTCATCTAATGCAGGTCAGATACAGCTCGATTAAACCTTGTGATGTGGCTTCTCTTGTTCTGTTTTCTCACTTGTGCCTCATTAGGACCAGAGCTGGGCCTAAGGCTTTCTGAGTGGCAAAAAGGTTTTGTACCTGACCCAAAAGGATTTCTCCCTACTGACCATTAGTAACACCAATCAACAGATCCTGGGCACCTTAGCTCTCTGCTGCCACAGGATGAGGACCCTGCCTTACTACCTAAAACACTAATTTCTTTAGCATATGTTTAGCATTACAAGTAATGTAATAATAGATATAAATCACATAGTATGCCACGTAGCATATTTCAGTAGGCATTTAGTAACTGATTCATTTTTTTCTGAGTTAAACTTGGAATATGTCTTTTCACAGTATGAATTGTAACCAGTATTGAGTTCCTAATATCACTTAAGTGGAGACAGCCTTATGGGGTTAAGCAAATGTGGGTTTGCTAGGAAATTTAACTTGGGTTCAAGTCTTGGCTTTGATATTGACTTCCTATGTGACTTTCGGCTAATGACTCGATATCTCTGAACCTGATCTTCATCTGCAAAATCAGGTCACCGTACTTACTTGCATGGTGGTATCTGAACTGCAGAAGAGAATGCCTGTGACTGCATATTTTAAACAACAAAGTATGCAAATCCAGGATCTCCTTTTCCTATACTTCTTTATCCTATTCCTGTTATATGAATTGGGGTAGCCTATATTTTGTGCTCATGGTGGGTGAGCTATAGCGTTTAGATTTCAGAGAACTTTGGCAAAGCCACGAGGCATTCCTTTTTCTTGGTGTGTTAAGGACAAATACTGCTGAACTGGATGAACACTTTGGCAAAGCCTAGGTCTTCTCCTGATTCTCTGGAACACATGACAAGTTTTGTGGCATCTACTCAGTTTTTGTAGTCAGGGGATGCTGCAGTGGTTTGTTTCGCGTATCATAAAAAACCAATTCAACTAGAGGCAGGGAATTTTTGTTGGCTTGTATTTGAACTTCAGAACAAAGTTTAATTTGGTTTCCATTTCGCCAGATGAGGAATAGCATCTTTACTGCAAGGAAACCTGACACTCCTTTATTCTTGCGACGATGGTAAAATTTTCTGGGTCACAAAACAAGCCGTAGAGGAAGAAATGAAGGTGCATGCAAGATTCCTAAAATAAATATTCCTCTGTGGTAATTACTAGAAGGCTTGGGTTGAAAAAATGTCAGCATCAGGAGTTTGGGCCATGTTTTCCCTTACATTTTGCCCTTGCTGAATTGTTCAGTGTTGCTTGTAAAACATGCTAGGAAGAAGCTGCTTCACTCCAAATTGTACAAAGCGCTTGCATATGCGGAATGGGAATTATAAAATAATGCCTCAGGATTTGGGGGGTCTAATAGTGTTACTCTAGCCAAAGGCCAAATCCACTGTCAAATGGAAATAGCAAGAGATTCAAATGATCATGAGTTCCACAAGACATTTAAGTCAGTTTATCAATTAAATGTATTTCAGGCTTTGTGAGTATCCTACAAGTGCATGACACAGCCTGGATTCTCAAAAAGATTATTGTTTCACTGAAGAGAACAGATTGCTTAAATAATCAAGCAAAATAATTGATGTCTACATGTGACTGTGAAGATTCAGATGAGAGAAGTTATCTCAAATTACAGTGTCTCAGGGGAGGTAGGATATGCATCTGGTATGAACCTTTTAGGGGAGAAAAGGCAGACATCTCCCTAATAGTGTTTTCCCCTCATGAAGGCTATTTAGATCCTATGTGACCCTACAATAACTGGGTGAGCAAGGCAGAGCTTTTATTTTAGGGAACAAGATGAAGTGACTGTCACTTTCCCACAACACTGTGTAAAAGGGATGAGATGGGAAGTCAGGTCATCTGCTTCTAAGGTTAGCACATCTGCCTTGAGAATTTTGTTACTACCTTTCCCTAAATTATTGCTGCTCACGTGTTTTCACTATCTTACTCTAGTGCTTATCACATGAGGGGTCTGCCACAAATATTTCCTTCTGTCCCTTTGTCATGATGAAAATCAGGTAGCAAAATGTCTACACTTCTAAAATTAAGAGCCAAAACCAATGACATAGTATCTTCTGTTTCTCCCAGTAACATCAGTTCTAATCTGCATGTTGTGGAGTATGAAGAACTGGAGGAAGTGGGGGATAAGTTGTGATGTTAGGAGAGAGAAGAGAGAAGAAAAGGCACAAAAAGCCTTACTTCTCAGTGCCTCTACCTACTTTTGTCTTCCTGAAGTTCTTGCTCTCTATGGCTTGCATGTCATCCAAGAAGCCTCTCTGCCTCTGCCGCCGCCTCCTCCTCCTTCTGCATGTTGTGGAGTATGAAGAACTGGAGGAAGTGGGGGATAAGTTGTGATGTTAGGAGAGAGAAGAGAGAAGAAAAGGCACAAAAAGCCTTACTTCTCAGTGCCTCTACCTACTTTTGTCTTCCTGAAGTTCTTGCTCTCTATGGCTTGCATGTCATCCAAGAAGCCTCTCTGCCTCTGCCGCCGCCTCCTCCTCCTCT